CGGCAGTGCTTGTAACCCTGGGAAAATCATTTAACTTCAGGGAGCCTCCTTTATCCCCTTTGTGAAATGACAGTTTCCATTTCACTATCTCCTATCACATTAGTGGTTATTTCTGCCATGAAATTAAATCACTTCTGTTACTGAGAGAGAGAGATAAGAGAAGATAAAGCACCAAAAGAAACGTGGAGATGAGGCAAGAAGCCCTGCTGGTTTGGGAAGGAGGGAAAGTGAAGCCTCAGGTAATTTCTCCATCTTCGTACTCAGAGGACTGGATTCCCCAGGAATTCCCTCAGTTTTATTTTAAACATTTGTCTGTTAACTGAAACACAGAAAAAAAAGAAGAAGAAGAAGAAGAAAAGCAGGGCTTTGTCCTTTAATCCCATGCATCCTTCTAATACTTCAAATTTCATGCTAGTTATACTAGTTCTCCCAGCCTGGACGAATTAAATATTTCTGGAAGACATTGTCACTGAACAGTAATTTGAATAAGATTAGGAAAAGAACAATATTTATTTAAATGGATGAATCTTTAGAGGTGGAATTTCAGGCACTCCATTGGGGTCACTGGCATGTTTGGGTGGAAAAGGGTATGTGGAATAGTTTTGATTAAAAGGACTTCTGGGTTCTTTCTCAAATCAAAGCCATAGATATAAATAATCCCTCTATAGATTGTCCACCTGAGACCACATTCCCTCAAGATCTATCCAGTTTAGTGCTTGCGGTTCCTTCTGAACTCTGCTTCCAGCTTTCCTTTGTAGCGACATTGTGCCTGGCACTTCCAGCTTTTGGGAATCTACAGGACTGTGCTTCCACAAATCTGTATGTTAGTGTCAGTAGAGCAGTTACTACAGGTGTGCTTTCTCTCATGCACTACAGAATAATGATAATAATAGTGGTAATAATAATAATAGTAATATTATAATTCAGATACAAACTGAAGCACATCCTGGGCATTTACATGTTCATCCCGCTTTGGTCTTCCACCAAATTTTAAAAAGAACCCTTCACTTTAAGGGAGCTCAAATCAGAGGAGATTTTGGAAACTGGTATTTATGTTGTTCGGCTTTCATCTAAAAGGAACTGGATGTTTACACATGATTCATATATAACATGATATCAATAAATAATTCATTTGGAAGTTCTAAATAAAAGTTACATTGGTTATAACATTCAATTTAGTTATAGGCCCTAAAGAACATTCAGTAAAAGACTAATTGTTTAAAATGTGAAAGAGATGAATAACCATAGATTTAGAAGTATATTGTCAAATTAGATTGAGAAGGCTGCTGGTAATGGCATCTTAGATGATTTCCACTGAGTAGGGCATATAGACTACTGAAAGGATAGAATAAAATATGAAAGTATGAAAAAAAACATATCTTAATGAGAGCATCAGCAAACTACAGCCAGTTAAGAGCAGTTTCTAACAGCAAAGTGATACATTTTGAGATGAAAAGCAGGATTACCGCTGAAAGTGAAGGCATAAGGCCAAAAACATGTATACAGTTCTCTAGAAACAACATCTTACAGACTGGTGTGGCAGGGGTCAAAAAGAGAGATTCTGACCTCTATTCCAATCAATTTTTCACTTTGTGGAAAGTCAAAAAGCACCCGAACATCTACATGTGTAACTAAGGCAAGAAAAGCCTGCAATTGTTCTTTTGCAATGGTGGCAATGGTCATGTCAACATGAGGATCATTCTGAGGTCAGGTGTCAATTGCCTTGTGTAGCAAACTTTTTGCACTGAAACAGTATTTTTTAAAAAGCTACCTGTGGATCAGCTATTAGGTCAATACAGTGTAAAAAAACTTATTTTATATATTTCAAGCATAATTTACACTAAGCCAAGTTCAAAAGCCAGCCAGAATTTCAGAGAGATGATCGAGATATCTGAGGATGATTTGTTCTAGAGCCTTTTCCTGAGAGACTGAGCTATACTTTTTATGGCCACATAGACCTATATGTAAAGGGAAAGTAAAAATAACCCAAAGTTGGAGATTCAGAGAATACATTCCCTAATATGCATTCAGACCATAGGCACACACGCAGATGCAAAAGTGATCAGGAGATAAACTATACCTTTCTCAGTCTGAAACTGAGATGTGACTCTCCTAAGGCACTCAGGAAACTGCAAGCCTGGAAATTGGTTGAAGGTGGTACCAGACTTATGCTCTAAAAGCCTATTGGAACAAAAATAATATCTTGATGAAGACTAAAACAAATTGAAGGTCTCAACTTATTTTCAGACATGGGCTTTTGAATGCAATATCTGGTACATAGAGAAAGCTTATGTACATTATGAGCTGAGCAATCAATGAAAGACAAGGTGAAATACCATGTCAACATGAGCATCATTCTGAGGTCAGGTGTCAACTGCCTTGTGTAGCAAACTTTTTGCACTGAAACAGTATTTTTTAAAAAGCTACCTGTGGATCAGCTATTAGGTCAATACAGTGTAAAAAAACTTATTTTATATATTTCAAGCATAATTTATACTAAGCCAAGTTCAAAAGCCAGCAGAATTTCAGAGAGATGATCTGGGGATGATTTGTTCTAGAGCCTTTTCCTGAGAGACTGAGCTATACTTTTTATGGCCACATAGACCTATATGTAAAAGGAAAGTAAAAATAACCCAAAGTTGGAGATTCAGAGAATACATTCCCTAAAATGCATTCAGACCATAGGCACACACACAGATGCAAAAGTGATCAGGAGATAAACTATACCTTTCTCAGTCTGAAACTGAGATGTGACTCTCCTAAGGCGCTCAGGAAACTGCAAGTCTGGAAATTGGTTGAAGGGGGTACCAGACATGTGACCTAAAAACCCA